TACTCTTCAAGTTAACTGGTTAGTTGCAAAAACGTCAATACATCGATTGCCCTTCAGACCATAATTACTGGTGGTAGGACCTCTTGTCAGTCCGCGCGGGTGGGTACCACCATCCTGCCTATTTCTGCCGTGAAGCAGTAATTCGTTTCGGTTTGAAGGGTGGGGTAGCCGTTGTAACTATACTTGAGACCTTAGAACTTGTATGTCAAGGTGGGTGGCGCATTTACGCTATGGATTTCTATGGGCTCCAGTAACCTCTTAACACTTAACACCAGGTGGGCTGTGAGCTCGTCTAAACATCTAAGCAATAAATAAAAAAAGACCGGAACGCATTTTTGTTACGCTGCAGAAATAGACCCAAGGGGCTTGCTAGCATTATACCCTGCCACGAGTACTTGAGCCGGGTATTATTGAATAAAATAGAAAAATAGGTGATGTTGACCATAATTACTAAAAGCAGTTAGAACAGGGAGAGCGAAGTCGCATATTCTTATCTTCTAATCAATGGCTGTTACAGACTATTATCATCAATCTTCTTTTTCTCCACCTTATCCCACTAGGTGGGGTCGGCACAGCCAACTTTTCACTTCCATTCTCTTCTATCAGTGGTCATCTCAACACTCACTCCCCCTCTACCTTTCACTAATATTTCCATACAACTCCTAGTCACATGCATCTTCTCTCTACGCATCACATGTCCATACCACGCTATTACCAGACTATTATCATCAATATATTACTATACTAGCGACCCGCCCTCGCTTCGCTTCGGAAACATTAAAACAAACATGAAACCAAAAAAAAAATAAAAAAAAAATAAAAAAAAGTAGCCTATGTTCATCAGGGACAATGTCAGCTTCTAATGGAAAAAGAATTTTTCAAATCGGTCCAGTAGTTTCGGAGCCTATTCGAAACAAACAAACAAACAAATCTTTCCTCTTTATAATATTAGTATAGATGTCACCTCAGAGTTCCTTTAGGAAAATTAGGATCGCTTTCGGTTGGTATACATGTGCGTTTGTGTTATTGGGCGTAGCTTCATCATTACGCACTTTCACATTAGTATGCATGGCCACGCTGCAGTCTAGACGTTGGCTATGAGTCACGACATCACGAAAGATCAATAACGGACACTATTTATTTGCTGAAACACCCACCCTACTTATTAAAGTATAGACTTTTTTTTTTGTCTATGGCTTAGATGGATGGGCGAGCTCACAGCCCAACTGGTGTTAAGTGGTTACTGGAGCCCATAGACATCTACAACGTAAATGCGCCACCCACCTTGAGATATAAGTTCTAAGGGTCTCAGTATAGTTACAACGGCTGCCCCACCCTTCAGACCGAAACGCATGTATGTATGTTAAAAGTACAGTACGGCAAAGACTTTTTTAACAAATTTTTATTCCCTTTTTTTCCTACCTATTCACTGAAGGGGGCTATCGCAACTACGCCCGGACACCAGTCAGGTGGGCACGCGAGCTCAACTTGACAGAATTTGCTAACAAGAGCCTTAGCAACAGCAGTGCATCGCAGATTTTGTACACCCTGCCTGTTTCTACCGTGAATGTGTTTCGGTTTGAATGGTAGGGCAGCCGTTGCACTGTTAAAACCGAGACTTAGAACTTATGTCTCGAGGTGAGTGTCGGCATTTACGTAGTAGGTGTCTATGGGCTCTGGTAACCACTTAACACCAGGTGGGCCGTGAGCTCGCCTACTCTCTTAACCAATAAAAAATAATAAATAAATGTAACAGAATCTTTGAACGTGATTTTCACCCACATTAAAGCGTCGGATTGAATTAAAATTTCGTACACTTATCAAGGGCCGATGACAATACAATAATTTGTATCAATGGATAAAAACAAAAATGTCCGGTTGTTCTGATCCGGATCTTCAGGATCAACGACGGTATAGACAGTTAAAACACTTTTTTTTCCTACCTAAGCTGATGGTCTACACCAGGGGTTTCCAAAACTTCATTTGTCTATTGCCCACTTTGAGAATAAATTATTTTTTAGCGCCCCTATTTTTTCACCTACTTAAAAACCACTATAGTGAGAGGTCAGTCGGTGTCTAAGAGTCCACCTAGATGAAATTACAAATCCCAAGCCTCTATACAACACCCCCATTTTTTTCTGGGTCTCTTACCGCCCCCCTTTAGGCCTCCAGCGCCCACAAGGGGGCGTTTTTTCCCACTTTGAGAAAAGCTGGTCTAGACTCTAGAGAGACCATATCAGCGTAACCTTAACTAGTAGGTGAGCTTACGGAGCTCAAATCTGACGATGTTGCTAAAACGAAACCTAGCAAGAGCCGTGCTTCGCAAAATCTGCTACCGGATCGGAAGCACGACCCACTGAGAAGATCCGGCGAGAAACTCAGTGGGCTGTGTCTGTGGGTCAATTTACTCGCCGAGCCCTTTGATGAGAATGTTAAAACCCTAATGTCTTATGCCAGGTGCAAAGGTATGTGCGGACCTGATGCCTTTCGTCTGCCTTTCCGCTTCTCAGGCTTCTTCTTAAAATCAAACCCTAATTCTCCATTAGAAGCCTGGTAGTCAACAGGACCTAGAACTTGATTACTCAAAGTTAACAGGGAGAGTATCATGTACTGGTGACATATTGAATCAAATGGTTACATTATGAAATAATCATAGAACAACCTGACAATATGTATTTGCATATTATGACACATTAAAAAACCAGTTTCTTCCTTACTAAGAACTTATCATTATTACAGATTTCAAAAGCAAAAAGTTTTCTATATTTCTTAACATAATTTATTCATACTAAAAAGTCTGATTGAAATTTATTTCAGATCTGAAATGAATTACAAAGATTAAACATAGTAGAATGAAGTTCACTGTGGATAAACAGTTATTGTAGGTGGTAGGTGTCAACAATGCTCCAATGGTACTGCTAATGATATGTTAAAAAATGGACAAACCTAAAAGACTAAGACCAGAAAAAATACATGCAATTAGAGTAGTTGACCAATCACTCATCAGTATCTCAAAAATAAATATCATTTTTAATTTAATCACACTGTTATTCCATAGATTTGTAATAATTTCATTGTCACCATTTGTTGTAACCAAACTTTCTTAAATCGCTATCTTGATTACTAGTGGTAGGGGGCTTGCGAGTGTGAATAGAGCACTAAAATACAATTTCTGGCACAATCATGCATTCCATATTGAAGTTAGAGTTGTCAGTCATGTCAATGCAAACAAGATTTTAAATTTATCATTCAATTGGGAATGGAAATAAAGTTTAGGTGTCCATAGTCTCTAGTGACTGCTCAATACTTGAAATCATTTGGGAAAACAGGCCTACTAATGCTACTAATGATTTAGAACACACACAAAGTAGTGTGATTGTTTTAGAAAAAAAAATAGCATTTAAATATATTTTTCTACCTTACACCTGCCATATCAAGAATCCCATTTGGACTTTTGTATACAAAACTATAAATTTCTAGTTTACCAGCCAACTTTATGAAATTATAGTTATCTGTAGCTTAAAAACTTATTTTCTGAGCAAGTTTTATTATTATATATGTTAAGTTCCTTGCATAAATTAGGATTTCCTTTTTGAAGGTATTTTCTAAAAGTTGTTTATAATTACAATATTTTTATACATAATTAACAATAAACTCAAACTCATAAATCATTGGATCTAAAAACTTACTAAGAGATAATTAATTTAATTCTATAATATTTTGATACCTAAATTAATCAATTGATTAGTAGTAGTGATTATCTTCATAAACTTCTATATTATGCTTTCACAATTTACAATTGTATAGATTTGCTTATTATGAATATATTGTTTTTTTTTTATTGTTTAGTAGGGTGGACGAGCTCACAGCCCACCTGCTGTTAAGTGGTTACTGGAGCCAATGACATCTACAACGCAAATGCGCCACCCACCTTGAGATATAAGTTCTAAGGTCTCAAGTATAGTTACAACGGCTGCCCCACCCTTCAAACTGACACACATTACTGATTCACGGCAGAAATAGGCAGGGCGGTGGTACCTACCCGCGTGGACCCACAAGAGGTTCTACCACCAGTAAATAAAGTAATATTACTAATATCTAAGAAACAAACATTTTGAAAAAAAAAATACATACTAAAATTACTAATGATCTGGTTAATTAACTCTCATAAGCAAATATCACCGCCCTGCCTATTTTTGACTCAAAGCATTTATGTGTTCCAGTTTGATAGGTAGAATTAGCAATGTAATTGAGATTTTAATCTCATATCTCAAGACGAATAACAGCTTTCACGTTGCTATGTCTATCATCTCTTATAATCATTTAGCACCAAATGTACCTAGACCTTGTTATTTTTTGTTTTGATTGATATGTTATATATATACACATATCAATCAATTCTCTCACTGGTTATGATTTTTTTATTATTATTGAATCAAACATAATCTGAAATCCTAGCAATCAGACTTAGCCAGTGTTAATAAATATAATCATTTAAAGAACTAAGATATTTTCCAATTAGTTACCATACCACCGGCAATTTTATCATTTGTTATTTTGTATTGCATCTTCTGGTATTATAATACATTAATTTTTATATTATAATTATGTGAGGAAAAAAATCGAATTAACACATAGGTTTCCGATGCATTATTACATAAATCCAATAAGCAGGTAGTCTACAAACAAGTTTTATTTTCAATCAGTAACAACTCATCTTCCTACCGTGACATAATGTGTGTCAAGAGCCATTACTATGGGACTGGTTTGTGTTGAAAAATATTTCGACACGCAAATTAATGGTACGAAGAATGAGAAACACGTAATATGTTATAGTTTTTCAAGCGAGCAACTGAAATGTAAACTTGAATGCGCGTCACAGATCGCACATCTGTGCGAGGCTCCAGAGTTATCGAGTATCGACCGTACGACCATTGTCACACGATTATGAACTAAAAAAATTACAACTGTTTTGTATCTTAGGAATTCATAATACTCACAATCTAAATGTTTCTTTTTCGGCGCTATCATTTCTTCTGTAGTCGCTTTGCAGACGGACTTTGCTAATCCCTGCCCGGCGATGCTGTGTCGGGCTGCTAACAGCCTATCGTTTATTGTCTGACCCGCCATTTTCACGTTATGTATTAAAAAAAATAATTTACACGTTTATACGGCACTGTTTTCAGGTGTTTTTCTATTAAATTCACAAAATTATGACGATGACGGGTAAAATATGTCACCGCCCCCCCGACTGGCACAATACTAAATTCAAGATGGCGATTAGAACTGGACGAATGCTGTCACTGTTCACTAGATAATGATATTCCTAAATTGTCTATGAGTAATGTGAAAAACAAAAATATGTTGATTTCTGGATTAATTTCTAATTTTTTTTATTGCAGTTGGCGAGAAGGACTTACCGCTTAACCAGGGCGGATGGATGAACTCAAGAGCGCAGTCGGGAGGTAACGATATGCTATCAACTTTTCGAGCGCTTCTAAAGCAGGCTTATCAATTTAAGGGCAGCTGCTTCGTGAATACATATGAGACCAGATCTAAATCTTGACCGTCCGAGGAAATTTTGGTGTGAAACTTAACGGGTTAAATGATAATTAGTCGGACTCTTCGGCGAGTTCGACGGTTACGGCGAACTCTGTTATAATTGCTGCTAGCGGGTATTTTAGTAGTGTCCAACACCACCAAGACTGAATCAGAACGATCCGTGAGGACATGATAAAGACGTCACTGGTAGCTGGCTGCTGAGTGAACTGGCGTGAAGGTGTAGCTAATGACATATACGATAAGTCGGTTATCGTGTCGTACTGCTGATGCGAAATAGCCTTTTTCTAAGTCCTTACATTTTTATAAAACACAAACGTTAGAAAATCCTCCGCTAAGCGCCAACTCAAGAAATACCTTACGTATTGCTTTTGTTTCTCTATTATCTTTGATTAAAAAGATAGTTAACGCACACCAGTGTCGGTTCCTTCAGAAATCATTTACATCTTGTTTTACCCTGTGCTTTTAAAGGCTTTGTATGTATTGTAAAAGTCTACTTTACTTTTGGTTAACAAGTATTAGGTACATACAACATTATTTTAACAAATTATGAACAACTCCAAACCATTTGTTCCAAACAATGTAATCTAGCTTTCTTAACTTAGCCATCGGAGTACCATAGCACGTGAGAAATGTCACGTTTAAGGAGTTCATGACTCCTTCAAGAAGTTTAGTTTTTGAAGCCATCCGCTAGTATACGAAGACAGCGTCGGAAAGCTCCTTCATCTCGGTAATTTGGCATGATAGCTCCCTTGACAACAACTCTGAACAGTCTTACGCAGCACCCTCCATCCTATCATACCCTATCATCATCACTCCAAGCAAGTCCTGACGGACCACCTGATTCTAGGTATAGTGGACGCTACTAGTCTAATGACTACTGTTATCACTAGTACAATAACAAAGCACTGCTCACCGTGTTGCCACGCTTGTTATACATATATCATAGCACAAGTTTGGTGAGTTTCTGAATGGCTTGCGACTCCGATGTGATGTAAAAACATTCGCGAAGCAGCCCTCCTTCAGCTATTAGGCTTTCACTGGGGCTTCTGGGGTCGTCCAAGTCTTTGGGTTAGTAAACATTCTCTTTTAGCTTATCCCTCCTGTTCACCCATCTGTTCTTGCTGGGCGGCAAGATCTTTGTATCTACCAAGATCATTTCTTCATAAAAGGCTCTATGTGATTGCCATAGTGAAAAAGGAGCTGTTATGTTGGCAGCACTTATTGTTTTAAAGTTTTAGCACCAATGTTATCGGCCATGTTGTCACTTGCTAAATGTTAAATATTTCCGACAAAAAGTTTTGAGACTGAGAGTTGTTTTTCTGATTGAACACATAGCTTTATAGTTTAAAAGTGTTTTTATTCAGTACACCACTTATGGGCTCGAATTTATTGTGTGGCATGCTATAATACAAGCAATAGTAATAAGTGTTGTAAAACTTTAATAATGGCTAAGAAAAAAGCGAAGTCGAAATCAAAGAAACAATTAAATTTTCAAAAGGGATCAACGAAAAACGTACCGAATGATGTATTGGTATCTGCTGTATCAGTCATGCCAGTCATGACAAAAGTATGCAGGTTGTGCGAAACGAAAGATGGTCCTTTTTTAAATATTTTCGAATCTGATAAATCAACTGCTAAGAAGATAGATGAACTAATGCCTTTTGGGGTATGTTTGCAATCTGTATTCTGATAAAACTGAATTATCAATATAAACAAACAAACACGGCTCGAATTAAATATTAAGTCCCCACGAATTTACCTGATAAATAGTTTAAACTTATATGATAGTCATTTATGGCATCATTTTTTTTACCTGATTTTAAGTAGTGGCTATGAGAGCGCATTGACAGCAGAAAATCATTGTGTGAATGATTTTAGATATGGAATAAAAGTCTCAACTTAATCAGTAGGGGGGCTGTCCAACTCATCAAAGGAAACATGATTGCTTTGCATTGGAAATGGGCAGGATGGTACTGCCCTTGTGTATGTTTACAATAAACAGTATGCTCGAGTACAATACCTCCTCTTTTGAAAGAAAAAGTAAATTTTTAGGCCCTTTTTAAATTTGTTTTATGTAATGAAGAAAAACTTAAGCTAGTGACTGAGTCATTGAAGAAAATAGTTTTATAAACTACAAAATATCCTTGCCTTTACTAAATTATGTAGATAACATAAAAATTAAGATTATAATTATTCAGTCTTGATTTTGATTGATCTTTTATTTGCTCACGTTTGAAAGTTAATAAATAATTTATATAATGAAAATTTACAGATTTCTGAAAATGATGAATTACCTCACAAAATATGTTTCCGGTGCTCAGCTAAAGTTGAAGAGCTTCATGAGTTTGTACAGAAATGTGTCAAGACACAAGAAAATCTCCTAGCTGCTACTGGTAAAAAAGATTTACTAAACACAAAAACAAAAACACGAGAACAGTGGGAAGAAAAGCTGAACAAAACTAACTTGTCGAATGATGACATCTGCGATGCTCTCATAAGAAAAGCTATGGAAGCTATAAAAGATATGCCATTAAACCAATCAGTTGTAGCAGAGGATAAGAATTCTCTACTTGGACGAAAGGTGCGAGCGGAACCCCAAACAAATAACATTTTAAAATTGCAGGCCAAAACAGAAGACAGTAATGCTGCTGTGAATCTCAAACCTGTAAAATTGACTATTGAAAAATGTGACCAAAGGGTTACTCGGTCGGGGTCAGATAAAATTGTCAATAAACAAAGTAAAAAACTTGACACTATAAATACAAATTCCATTAGCACACCAGAGGTACAAGATAGTCAAAAACCTGAAAATAGTGGACAAAAAGATANGCAGGCCAAAACAGAAGACAGTAATGCTGCTGTGAATCTCAAACCTGTAAAATTGACTATTGAAAAATGTGACCAAAGGGTTACTCGGTCGGGGTCAGATAAAATTGTCAATAAACAAAGTAAAAAACTTGACACTATAAATACAAATTCCATTAGCACACCAGAGGTACAAGATAGTCAAAAACCTGAAAATAGTGGACAAAAAGATACAACAGCTGAAAATATTGCATCTGAGGAAACTACAAAACAGGAAGTGCCATTTAACATAATGGATCATGTAAGCACAATCAAAGTAAATCAAGTAGGAGTACTCTTCCAATGTAAGTTATGCAACCGGAATTTCTTAAAAAAGGAAATAGTCGAAAGTCATTTTTGTGCCCGAAACGGTGCTCCCAAAACTGATATTACAAAACACTTACCCCCTCCTGAACCACCAAAAGCCACTAATACTGTGAAATATTTTAAAATGGACAGTGAAAAACGTATTATGTCAAATGGCAATGATAGTGTTACATCAAATAAAGAATGTAAAGAAGTGCCAGCTGAACGAGAACTTAATAAAGCTTTAGAAGAACCAGTCAAGCCTTTAGCTAAACCAAAACCCAAAATAGGCCCTGCAAGTAAAGTAAAAAAAACCCAAATGGAACCATCTCCTTGTGTAACTGAAACCCCTGAAGTGACTATTCTCACCCCTACCGCACCCCTTGGAAATTTTAAACTAATGCCTAATGTAAACTCAAGCTACAATTTAATGCCCAGTCCAAACTCAAGGTACAAGATAATGCCTGGTCCAAACAATTCTTTTGTATTAGTGGAAGAAGGTTCAACTTCCAAAGCTGCAAGTGAGGAGACTAATACTGCACAAAAGGTACCTAAAAAAAGAAAAAATGAAGGTAAAATTCATGCTGATATGAATGAATGTTCTTCATACAATATCCAAAGCTCAGAAGTCATTGATGTAGATGAGCCTACTCCAGTATTGCCATCACAACAGAAGCCATATCCTGTTGGGCTTTTTCAAACAGTTGCCCACCATACTGGGATCTATGTGTCAAAAACTACTCAGAGTGCAACATTCACTACTCCAGCCATGAAAAAGCAGTCTTACACTGTTCATCAAACTGACAATCCTAGCAAATTAGTGATCTCAACGAAACCTCAAATATCTACTGAAGAAATTCCTAAGAAAAAGAGTAAAAGAATTCGACCAGAAACCAATGAAACTCCATCGAAAGAACCCTTCTCTGTGACATTAGAAGATGCAGCACCACCAAAAGATCCTGGCTTCTTTACCTTTATCAATGTGGATCCTTTGTTGCAGCCTTCATATGTTCTACCAACAGACAATATTATCCAAGAATCACAAATTTCAACATCCACTCCCGTGGTGAAGGCTGGTGGTACAGATAAAAAAGAAAAAGAACAATATTCTTGTAACATGTGCAATGAGAAATTTAGTAGAGAGAAAAAACTACTTACCCACATACAATCACATTACGATAAGTTGGACGAAGAAGACATGAAGAGAGAAGAAAGAAGTAGTAATAAAAGAAAACAAAAGAAATAATATTTCTTTTGTTATTCGCAAGCTTAAACATTATGAAAATATTTTCATTAAGTAATCTGCCATTTATTTGATGCATTTTACAAATTATTGTGTCTTGTTGATTTTGTGAAAATGTCACTCTTAATTGCTTTAAATCTTAGAAAATAATTAATGAAAATATTTTTGTGTTGTTTTGTAAATATATCACATATAAGTCTAGTTAAGTTGAAAGTACCATTAGATTGATGAGTTTGAATGTGCTGTTTTTTGTGTTAAAATATAGAAATTGTTTTATTGATACATATTATTTGTTCTCAAAAATATGCTTTGTGTTCAGTTTACATAGGTATTAATGCATTGCATTTATTTTTATTACCCTTGTAGGAAAACGAGCATACGGCCCACCTGATGGTGAGTGGTTACTGTCGCCCATGTACTTCAGCAATGCCAGGGGAAGAGCCAAGCCGCGGCCTACCGTAAATTTTCATTATCCATCAGATGTAGTGCAATCGCTATTGTTGCTACAAGTGAGCACAGGTGTCATTTCTAACAATTAGAGGATGTCGGGCTATGGTCTGGCTCAGCTTTTGACATTGATGACGTCTATGAGCAACAGTGACCATACACGGGTAGCCGGGCTGTGTGCCCAAGTCAATTGGAAAAAGTTCACGATAATTCCGTTGCGAGCTTAATCTAATCAAAATAATTTTGTGGACTGTAAGATGGACGGTAAGAAAGAAGATATGCGTTAGAAATTTATAGAGTAATTCTAATCAAAGAGAGATTTTTTTTAATTCCATTTGGCTCCATATCCATTGTATTATTTCACAGCAATTCGATTGTCTTGATCACCTTGTAGTGTTTTTGGCATTATAATAAGTATCAAATTGATATCAAAGTACTCCAAAAGATGACAACAGATTACTTAAAAAAATCTTAACACCTATTCTACAATGCGACGCAGAACCTTCAGAGGCAAGCTTTATTGAACATGCTTACAGACAATGATTGATTGATTTGATTTTTATGATATTCTTCGCATTCTAGGAAGAATTCAAACTCAGTGTTATTTAATTCCTTATTTTTTTCATACCTATGCTGATAGCCTTGAGAAGCTATTTACCCTAGTAAGGGCTAAGAAGTTTTTTCATACCTAGTGTATAGGTGAGCTCCCGGGGCTCAAACCGGAGGTGTTGCTAACACTGGCCCTAGCGAGAGCAGTGCTTCGCAGAATCTACCACCGGATCTGAATCGCGACCCACTAAGAATATCCGGCGAGAAACTCGGTGGGCTAAAACAGGTCAATTATTAGACCCGTGCCAGCCTCTTATTAGCTCGTGATTTTGAGAGCTGATGCATGGTCCTTCAATTTAATATTAGGTCTTGACCTATGAAGTTGCTGTTTTACAACATTGACCATTTGAAATTTAATTTATGGCAATAAATTCTAAATTGTAATAAATTTTATTTAAATAATATGGAATTATATTTTTATATGTGGTGTGTTTGTGTTATTTGTTTATTCTTATTATGAGGACCTGGATACAGTTATGGAGGAGCTCGCGCATCTCCGGCCAGCCTTGATCAATTTGCTCATACTCATACTGTACAACAGCAACCCGGTCGGCGGTGTATTGCGATCCGACCCGACAGGCTGGTTCTGGCCCAGCGGGGTATCCCGGAACACCAGCGGGATTGCCGGGCGGCCTGGTAGGTCCGCCGCGGCGCCGTACCGCGGAGACCGGCGTCGTTGGTCGTTGACTAGCGCCTCGACGACCCCTCGGCCGGGCCTCTTCGGGGTGGCGCCGCGATTCTGGTTCTAGTGTTTTTTTTTTTATGGTTGAAAGATTACTGGTGGCCCGGAGGCCTTTCCAGCTTCACCAGGACAGGTGGGCGAGCAAAGGCTCAGCCAGGAGGGGTGTGATTTGCTAACAGCTACCCTAGCGCCTCCGAAGGAGACCTAACAGCTCAAGAGCAGCTGCTTCGCGAATGAATCTACTACCGGATCGGAATCGCGACCCGCTGAGTAGATCCGGCGAGCTGATTCATGGGTTAGGTTGCACGGCGAACTCTTTGTCGAGTTCGACGAGTACGGTTACCGGGGTCCCTAAGCCTGCTCCTAGTGTTAGAGCTGAAGGCGTCTAATGCAAAGGTTATTGGATCTGATGGATCCGTAAGGACGTATCTAGGGCGTCGACGGTGACTGGCTCCTGCGTGATCAGGATTCGGGGAGTAGTCAGCGGCGGCTACGATAAGGCGATTATCATGACGCATAGCCTTATCGAAGTACCGTTCCGACGCTGACTTCATGTATTTCTGGATAGATTCGAGGCCTAAGTCGTCGTGTAGGTCAACGTTCCTCACGAACCACGGAGCTCCGACGGCTAACCTGTAAAAGCGGGATTGTAGAGATTGGAGGGCGTCTATATGCGTGCGGGCCGCGTGAGCGAACACCACACTCGCGTAAGTCATGACGGGCCTTATGCAAGTTTTGTCACCTTGTTCCGAAGGGACATTTTACTTCGCTTACAGATCACGGGGTAGACTCTACCGAGAATAAACGCGGCGCGGTCACGGACTGATTTTATACGCGGGCGGAATGTCATCGATGCATCCAGGGTAACGCCCAGGTACTTGACCTTCCTGGCCCAGGGTATGGGTTGTCTAAAGAGAGTAATCGGGGGTGTGAGATTCCTCCTCCTAATCCGGGAGGAAATCCGTGTGGAGCTTCCCCTCTGAAATAGCACCGCAGTACTTTTCGCTGGGTTGATGTCTATGCGCCATTTTCGGAACCNTACTTGACCTTCCTGGCCCAGGGTATGGGTTGTCTAAAGAGAGTAATCGGGGGTGTGAGATTCCTCCTCCTAATCCGGGAGGAAATCCGTGTGGAGCTTCCCCTCTGAAATAGCACCGCAGTACTTTTCGCTGGGTTGATGTCTATGCGCCATTTTCGGAACCACTGTCCTAGGGCTAGGGCTGCGCTCTGAAGGTTCTAGTGTTGAGCGCGGGAACCCTCCTACTCGTACCGGGTTCTGACCTCAGACGGACGTCGGATGTCAGAGTGCAGGGGAGTCGTTTAGTGCGGTAGGGACCTAAAACTCCTTGGTTCCGTGGTATGCTCCCTACATCTGCAGATCGTCAAGTCCCGCATAGCCCAGTTTCACCAGGACAGGTGGGCGACCAAAGGCTCAATCAGGAGTGGTGCGTTTTGTTAACAGCTGCCCGAGCGCCTCCGGAGGAGATGTGACAACTCAAGGGCACCTGTTTCGCGAATAAATCTAATAACGGATCGAAATCGTGACCCGCTGAGAAAATCCGGCGAGTAACTCAGCGGGCTGATGTATGGATTAGATTGCACGTCGAATTCTTTGCCGAGTTCGACCAGGGCTAACAACAGCCGCCACCTATCCATTTTCGTTATTTATATAAAGACAATATTCATAGAAAATAAATTCGAATTAAAATAAATATTAAAATAATTTCGAAAATATTAAAATAAATTCGAAGTTCTATATGTTTAGATGAAGTAATTTTTTGAAACATGGCCATTCTTTCGGAAAAAATATGGTAATTAGGCTATTTTTAAGCATCAACTATTATGGGCTCCGTTCTTTTCAAAAATAGATGTTTACTTATCTACCGTTTTTCTGTTTAAAAATTTTACTATTAACGAGGAGTTGGAAATGAAAGGCGATTTCAAGATGATTCATTTATTAATTTATATAAGATCAATAAGCATACTTAATTTAAAACACGTATCTAAACAGAGCTCAAACATCTCTTCTGTAGACAGTATTCTGACGCAAGTTAAAACTATTATATATCTTTAAAAATTGTCTTAACGGATTAACATGCATCTTTGAAATATTTTAAATTTACTAATAGAGAAGTTATCTACACTACAGGTACACATTGAAACGTTGTGATCCTAATATTTAACGATGGAAATATCTGGATAAGTTTTGAGGTTATAAAATTTCTGACAAATACAGGCTGCTTTTCTCAGCACGCCGCATATTTATTAGGTACCTACATAATTAGCTGTTGATGCAGATTCGGAGACTTCTATTTTTATTTGAAGACAATTCTGTTTACGAATGTTATAAAAATCGTTAATTTTGATCACCTTGTATCGTTCATAAGTTTTTCGAATTTGTTTAATTAATCCTCATTAATACAACATCGTGTACCTGATATTTTCCTCCGATGATTACATTACATTAATTCGTTGTCTTCATAGCCCGCATTTGACGAAAATTTTATCAACATACAACATCAAGTGAATCTAAGATCGAAAAAACGTGACAAAGACGAATTGAACTCTACGTGAATATTAATAATCTATGAGTCGTGTCTACATCACGCCCAACGATAAATTTTAATATTTTTAGTAAACATTATTATAATCACATATTTTGATATGTATCTGGATTCGAGTGCAGCACCCTTCAACTATGCATTCAATCGAGTCAGTTTTGACATTAAAGAGTTCCTACTAAGAGACTCCTAAACATTGTTTAACTACAATACCGATCGTATTAAAATAATTGTACTTTATACGCTACTGTTAGATAATAATAATAATAATATAGATCATTAAAATCTATGATATGTATTCATTACTACGCTTAAGTTTAAATCGATATGTTTCCGTGGTCCTATTCTGGATTTTCCAAAAAGCCAGATATAAAGCGCATATATTCTTTTAACGTTTCTTAATAGCTAACGACAAGTAATCGAACGTTAGCCTTTATATCTCGCTTAGAATGGACGCTTCACGTTTCATCGGAGTCGCCTCTGACATTTGTCCAAGATAGAAGGGAAGAGTTAGATTAAGGATGGGGCGACAAACACACATACAAACCACGCACGGTAACATCGTGTCAGAGCATCATGAAGTGCGCGCCAGCCTTCTCCGCACCCCGCAGACACTTCATGACGAGACGCGAGCAACTGCCCTGACACTTGGCCAATCTAATAATCTATTGAAGCATGCTTACAAAAATATACACATATAAATATATTAACTAGGATTTGAAAATCAATACTCTCTTGTCTATTTCTCTTTGGTTTTGGAGGTGTTCGAGAAATTGCCGGTGGGACCGGAATCGTTCTATGTGGCCGGTCGTAGAAGATTCTAGTCCCAGAGGATTTCTCGTAGTTAAACAGGTATATCACACTCATTCTCACTGGGATCAGGAAAGGGATTTACTTTCTCCTGAATCTTATGGAGTCATAGGGCAGGTAGCTATAGAAGGAGGAGCTTATGGGGGCAAAGTGGACAACAGAGTAGTATTCAGAGGCCGACTCCGGTGCTATTCAGTCAAGGAAACCGGTGTTAACCAGTTTCTCCAGGAAAAACTTGACGTCTCCGAGTTCGGAATCCTTGATGCCAAGAGATTTAAGCATGCCCAGGTCGCCGTTCTCTACAGCCATAAAAACGGAGCGGAGGTGTTCGAGATCAGACCTCATCAGGTGGAGAGCAGCGCCAAAATCTTCGATCGTCTGGGATTCTGAAATATAGCAAATTTAAAAGTTGTAATTAGTTTTCTAACCATGATCTAGTCCCTAACAACAGTTCTGCGCCCACATACATAGCTTATGCTTAGGGCAACTACCGCAAATTAATCAATTTAAATTTCATACTTTATGAATTATAACCACTTTAAGCATCCTTATGCTTGTTTCAGACTATTACCCAAAAGTATCATTGTTAAACCAGAAAATATATTACAATTTCAATGTTTATCAGTATTTACTGGTGGTAGGGCGTATTGTGAGGCCGCACTGGTAGGTAGGTGCCTTGACCATTTTGTGCCGTGAAGCAGTCATGCGTTCTCTCAACTTCATATCTGAAGTGCATTTACGTTGTAATGAATATGGGCTTCAGTAATAATTGGAACTCTTAGTTGGTTATAAGATCTTAGACCCGTTTAATCTATTAAAATTATGCTTGATTACCTGATAAAGCAATGGCGACTTTCTCAACGCCACCCAGCGGCTCCAAGGCATCCCTCGCTTTGCTGCCAAAGAGTTTTTCCAGATAGTTGGGTCCGTGGGATGCTAGCAGCGATTGCAGGAACGATGCTGTTTCTTCGACCGGTGGTCTTTTAGCTGTAACGCGATAATCAAAATTAACATTCTATTGTTGATTTTTATAGGATTCGTTAAATTCGTCCATAGTAGGCATATTCTAAATTCTAGTTCACAGGATCAAGTATAAAATTTCGTTTATATCAGGATTCGTTATTTGCGATTCTAAATAATTGGCCAGATTGACGGAAGGCCGTTTTTGGATTTTTTTATCCTCTTAAAGCGATTACATAAATTGCAATGAAGAAGTATTTAAATGTACCTATTTAATATTTAGTGTACATCTTTAAAACGGATAGGTATTTTAAAATTTAATTATGATAACATCGATCTTTATCGCTAAATAAAGCTAAAACTGTACAAAGAGTTTTACATTAGGAGATAAATTAATTAGAATCGTAATGTCGCCTCACATCTCAAGCTAGGTGGCGACATTTATTATCTGCTAACTACAGACTCCCATTTCCGCCCGGGTAACTCCATTTTGGGTTGGCAATTAAAAAAAAAACTTTTATATGTTAGGAGGAACGTGAAAAGTTGGCATCTGAATTCTTGCATGTTAAAACATAATCATTTTATTTCTTTACTCAAGACAAGCAAGATTTCAAAAAATCTGTGTCCTAAAACAGCTTAGAATTTCAACGATGATGAAACTTTACTATTCCGCAAAGGGTGGTATTTAACAAAAGTAACAGAGAGATCGTATCTACAGAGACTATAAGTATAATTTTAGTAGCCTAAGTCGTAAATCTTCGTGTACAACCTAATAAGCCAGCGCTAATTTCTAGAATTTACCCTCGGTTCGAAAACTTTTGTTTTATTTATTGTTTTATTTGAGAACAGGAAGGTTTTACGAGAATGTCGGTTTCAATTAAAACTTTAACTGTTTGTAACTTGATTTAGATTTACAGCGTATCCGTGATTGTATTTATTTCGTCTTTGTTTACTATTACTGTTCGCTTTAGACGATCGCTGTTTTTTTTTTCTTACCTAATCTGATAGCGTTGAGAGGCTATTTCAGCGTAACCTTAACTAGTAGGTGAGCACACGGGGCTCAAACCGGAGTGATGCTAACACTGACCCTAGCAAGAGCAGTGCTTCGCAGAATCTACCACCAGATCGGAAACGAGACCCACTGAGAAGGTCCGGCGAGGAACTCTGTGGGCTGTGTCTATGGGATCGCTCTGTGTATGTGTGGTTCTTCTATGCATTGTAAGTTAGTGAGTGCTGGTCGTATGAAGTCATATATTATGAAATTGTAGAATTGAAATTGTATAAAATTGAAACGGTAGGTAGCGGCTTGGCTCTGCCCCTGGCATTGTTGATATCCAAGAGCGACGGTAACTACTCACCATCGGGTAGGCCGTATGTTCGTCTGCTTACAAGGGCTACAGAATGGAAAGCAATCGACGTCGCCCCACCACGTCATTTCGGATCCTCCCGATCCACTAACGGTGCTTTTAGGTACCTCAAGCACCGGCCATCGTTCTCGTCGAACCCGTCGCTTGCGACGAAGGGCTCGACGAGTAAATTAACCCTCAGACACAGCCCACTGATTTTCTCGAAGGATCTTCTCAGTGGTTCGCGTTTTCGATCCGGTGGTAGATTCTGCGAAGCACGGCTCTTGCTAGGGTTCGTGTTAGCAACGTCGTCAGGTTTGAGCTTCGTGAGCTCACCTAATAGTTAAGGTTACGCTGAAACAGCCTCTCAAGACTCTTAGCTTCATAACATTTAAAGCGCTAGAGTTACACGATTGTGCTCCGACTTCAATTCTGGTACATAAACAAATATTTCAAGCAAATATTTGACTAGTGTTGGAGCGTGTTGTAAGCCCCCACGGGTAGGTACCACTATCTTGGCTATATTAGTCGTGAAGCTTGTCAGTCATGTCCTTCTATAAATGAGATTCTAGGGGACTCATCAGCAGTAGGCAGTGGCTTGTCTATGAGCTACGGTGGCTACTTACCATTTAGCGAGCCGTATATTTGTCTGCCTGCGATAAAAAATGCGTGTTCCAATTTCAAAGGGTAGACAGCCGGCAATTGAGCCTTAGATATCATATCTCTAAGAACGTAACAAATTATAATTTGCGAAATCACTGGTGGTAGGACCTCTTATGAGTCCGCACGGGTAGGCACCACCACCCTGCCTATTTCTGCCGTGAAACAGTAATGCGTTTCGATTTGAAGGGTGGGGCAGCCGTTGTAACTATACCGAGACCTTAAAATTAAATCTCAAGGTAGGTGGCGGCATTTACGTTGTAGATGGCTCCGGTAACCACTTAACACCAGGTGGGCAGTGAGCTCGTCCACCCACCTAAGCAATAAAAAAGAAGATGACGGCATTACATTGTAGTTGCTTACATGGTTACACTTAAAACCAGGCGGCCCGTAAGCTCATTTAACCATCTAAGCAAGACAATAAAAACAACAATTAGCCTGGACGACAAATCTATAGTCCTGGTTTCTTTTGATTCTAAGTCCAGACAAACAAAAAAAACTTCAGAGGTGTCAAGGGACACCCGGATGGAACGAAGTTCCTTTCGATTAATTAGTGAAGGAATTGTAATTTTTTTTTTAAGTTATAATAATAAATTACGGCATTATGAAGAAGAAAAAAACAATACTATGAACTAAATTACTATTGTTGAAACGCTATCTCGAGAAACTGTACTCATTACGCGGACCAATCGGATACGAGCAATGTCACGCGATAAGCGCCTACACGTTGATTGGTCAGAATGACGGATCTAAAAAGTGTCGTGACAACTTTTCGTAAGAATTTTTTCCGTCTAGCCCCCTTTCACAACGCGCGATAAGGAACTTCGTTCCAAAAAACAACATAAAAAGAACACAGAAATAATAAAATATCCCCGCGAGTAACGTTATGTAAAGAGCTCGTGAACTGGTGTTATGTTCGGTAAATTGACATTTTATGTAAAAATGTACATATATATTTACACCTTCATGAGAACACGATTTTGGTCTTGTTAGCGTTAAATCCTGAGAATGGGCTGTAAAGAACATTTCGTAGGCGCGTATTTGTTACGTAAGTTTTAAATATCTATTTTTTTTGGAACGATAATTTTATGTTACTGTTCTATTCCCTGTTCCAGGTCTGACTTTGGATCGTTTAGCCTCACAAACTGTATCCTAAGGAGGATTTAGGGCGTGATTCATTTTTAATATCTAAAAAATAGTCTGGTCGATGCTTTTATAAAGGTGTTACCATATGCGTGTTTTTTTAATATTTTTTTATTGCTTAGATGGGTGGACGAGCTCACAGCCCACCTGGTGTTGAGTAGTTACTGGAGCCCCAAGACATCTACAACGTAAATGCGCCACCCACCTTGAGATATAAGTTCTAAGGTCTCAGTATAGTTACAACGGCTGCCCCACCCTTCAAACCATTACTGTTCGCGGCAGAAATAGGCGGGGTGGTGGTGATACCACCAGTAATTACGCAAATTATAATTTTGTTGGTTTGATTTTTATTGCACAATGTTATTCCTTCACCGTGGAAGTCAATCGTGAACCTTTTTTTCAAGTACTTATTTCATTAGAAAAATTGGTATCCGCCTGCGGGATTCGAACACCGTTGTATCGCCAGATTCGAATGCACCGGACGTCTTATCCTTTAGGCCACGACTACTTCAACTGTTTTCTGATTAATAACCTAGTTTTATTTTATTTTATTTTTATTCAGATTCACAGGGATTTTTTTTTTTTTTTTTTTTATTGCTTAGATGGGCGGACGAGTTCACAGCCCACCTGGTATTAAGTGTTTACTAGAGCCCATAGACATCTACCACGTAAGTGCGCCACCCACCTTGAGATATAAGTTCTAAGGTCTCAAGTATAGTTATAACGGCTGCCCCACCCTTCAAACCGAAACGCATTACTGCTTCACGGCAGAAATAGGCAGGGTGGTGGTACCTACCCGTGCGGACTCACAAGAGGTCCTGCCACCAGTAATTCCAGGAATGTTGGAAATATATAAAAAAAAACATGTTCGATAATATCACTCACCAGCCGTGCACAGTTTGGAGTCTTCGTCGTAGCCGTCAATGCAATCCGGAGCTCCATCGCAGAGATACTGAATCGAGATGCAGTTTCCATCCACTGGGCATTTGAAGGGCTCGTACGGATGGCAGTATTCTAGAAAGGATAATGGAAATTAAACTTTTTCGACTTGTTCTTATTCTATTTTTATTGGGCTGTCAATAGGTTGGGGATTGGTTATGCCCCTGGCATACCATTGACGGAACCCTTTGCTCGTAAAAGAATGGCGTTTAAATATCAAGCGACACTTTTTTTTAGGGATTTTATGACCTGGTAACTAAGACCTTTAAGTCATATCTTATTTTAATTTATATTGTTATTCTTATGAAAAATGATAATATTATGGAGTGAAATGAAATGAAATGAAGATGATTAATTTGAGACATTAATCAACTGGGATGAAATTAAATGAAATGAGATGAGATGATATGGGATGAAATATAGTCTCCGTATAATGGTGGTCATACTAGCTGTACTCGCTCGCTTCGCTGGGCATTTAAAATTAACATTATTATTTATTGTCATTATTATTAGGGAGTCCAACACTCATATAAATATTAGCCTATCCATTAAGTACATGTATTTTCTACATGGATACCAAGTTTCAAGTCAATCGGATGCATGGTTCAGTAGTTATAACGGAACATCCGTAAAAACCACTATAGATTTATATATTAGTATAGATTAAGTGCTATATACGACATATATTACAGTTGTAGACAGAAAAGAAAAGCAACAAATTTCTTGGCAAGAAAATATATTACCGAAAAAGCCCTTCAAATTTTTCTGAGCATTACAAGCAATTAAGCTTGTACAAAAAGAAAGGACTGGCCCTTTCATAACACATTATTTTTAACGAGACGCCTATTGGTCTTGTTACGATGTTGGCCCTTTACAGAGAGGTCCTTTCGAAGGTTGATTAGGGCCCTAATTGTAGCTCAGATTAACGGACCGACGGATTTAATCAACAATTCATGCGCAGTGAGTTTGGGTTCCGTGTTACTAATTCATTTTGTTAATCGAGTTATTGTTAGTTAAATCTGCCAACATGGGTGGCTTCGTGAGTGCTTTTTAAGCCGGCCACTATCGTTGTAGATAATACTCACGAAAATATAATATCCGGCCTATCCTATTGCGCTTCCGTTCGTCCGTAGTATTAGTATTGTAAGGTTTGTTGTAAAATAATTAAATTAAATTTAACATGTCAAAGTTAAGGCAATTTTCGGTTTGCCAAATGGCAACACTGTTGGTGAGAGCAATGGCAGTAGTGGAGACGTAACATAATATAAAAGGCGGTAGTCTGAAAAAACGGGACAGAAAGCAGTCTATTCAGTAGTGAGCAAATGTCTAAAGTGAACTACTGCAATCTGTATATTATTTCCTGACTGTTGGAAGCGGAGTTCTACAGTATTCAGCACTAATTCTCCTATTATTTAGTACATAAGGTAATTATAGGCTAGTACGCCCTTCTTTTTATCACTGTCCAGCCAATTTTTGACATGTGTTCATTCAATGCAATTGTGACCTCCATATATCTATGAGCCGGTTATTGTTTAACAGCTTGGACCCTGATTTTGACTCTATTTATACCTTCCCTTATTGCTTTAAATAGATAGAAGATCTCATGGCCAACCTGGTGTTGATCGGGTGAATCTTATAATACAACCTAACTAGAGGCATACAGTCGAAATATCAATTGTATGGTTTGAGACCTGTTCCACCATTTCAACTGGAATCCATAATAAATTCACGGCCGAAATAGGCAGAGTGGTGGTAGGCACCACATAATAAAATCCCTGTTGATACTGCGATGCTACTACCGTCATTAGAATCCCAGCTCACCGCCCACTCAATGTGAGACGGTAACTAGAGTTTATAGACCAAATTAAATGCATAATGCGTAAGATTAGACCAAGTTTGAAATTACAATACGAAAACACTTAACTCTCAAATGGATAGCATTCATTGCCATCATGCTGAAACCCAAACTAGCTACACCAAGAAACGTGAATCTCCAAACAGAGCGTTAAATGGCACAGTTATTCCGAAAATAAATTTCATTGTGAACCGTGAGGCATTTCGAAAACCAACATCCTTGTAATGAACTAATTGGATTAACCGACGCTTCAGGCGCTTCATAGACTTCATTACGGGACAAATAACCTCTAAATGTCATCGTATACAGGAATAGGAGCCGCCATAAACGTCCTTTCGGCTTATTTTAGCAACAAAGCTTTTATGTTGGAAACTAAAAATTAATTATGGGGATGTAGGTAATTAATTTGGTGCTAGTTTCAGAGGAAAAGCTAGTCAGTGGTGGTGTTATTTCAGACCCATGGTACGAATTTTGTTATTTGGAATTCGAAAATATCATTAACACAATTCAGGAATTTTAAATCCATATTTTTATTGGCGAGATAGATGCCCAGGGCCTAGCTAGTGTTATGAGGTCCTGGAGCCATAGATATCAGCAACGTAAATGCTTCCCATCTTGTGACACAAGTCCTAAAGTCTTAATTTTACAGTACAACGGCCGCCCCGCCCTTCAAACCCTTTTTTATTACGCGATGCTATTTTCTTCACTGTGGAAGCTAATTGGGACCATTTGTTGAGTACGTATTTCATTAGACATCATAGATAATCGCCTTATCGTTACCGCCGCTGACTACACTATCTATTATCACTATTACTACTATCCCTACACTACTTATAATCTAGCGACGAGAAAAGTGCACCAGGAAAGTAATCACAAAAAAATTACTTTTTTTTGTTTAACTTAGAGAGAGAGAGAGAGAGAGAGAGAGAGAGATAATACACTTTATTGCACACCAAAACACAATTTACATTCAAAAAACAATCAAAAAAAGCAGATACATTTGTACAATAGGCGGTAATAACTTAAGATAACATGAAAAATTTAATTTCATATTTTTAATCTGTATCAAGAAACAAACCATAGCGCGATGACGTCATTCGGAGATGTGCCTTCGACCGTAATAAAAACGAAATCTGTTTACAAATTACAAAACGAGCAACATTGGAAGACAGGCGGAGTGGGAATAAATGTTTTGAATGTTTCATTAAGGAGTTTTTATTATTTATGGCACGGCCACTTCAAACTTGATGATCAAGGTTGATAGAGGCATTCACGCTCTGAAGGTTCGAGTAACCACTCTATACCAAGTGGGACGTCAGCTTGTCTAAGTCATACAAATACTCAGTTTGACTTTTATTTCTTTTTATAAAATGTACATATAAAAAAAGTGGTGCGCGTACAACTTGGTGCACGGGAAAGAAGTGAAACTACTTTTGGGGTGTGTAGTATTGCGGTTTTCTTTATTTATTATCCTTAAATCCAATTTCCCTTGTAAAAGGGAATGCTGTGTATAAGAGAAACGACCTCTTCACCATTTATATTATATATTTTTGAATTATATTTCATTATAGGAAAACAAATATATATTTTTAAATGAGGGATTTAACATATATTTTTAAATCCTTCATCTATACATATAAATAAAATTGAAGTGTCTGTTTGTAATAATGAAATAGCCGCTTTTTACTACATGCTTATGAATATATATACGGTACATACACCAAAATATATTTTTTTACTATTTTTGTCTGTCTGTTTGTTCCGGATAACCTCTGGAACGGCAGGACAGATTGTGACTAGACTTTCACTGATGGGTAGCTGATGATATAAGGAGTAACTTAATATAATATAAGATAGTTAATATGTTACTGCCATGTACGGGAACAATGAAAAAATAATAACAAGTAATAACAATCTAGTGGCCGACACCCGTAAACAGAATGTGTATAAGAGAAACGACCTAGCTCGCTCTCTTTTTCTCTCTCTCTCCACGGTCGAGTGGTTTGCAAGACGCTCTGTTCATTTTCTCACTCTCGCTCGTCCTAAATCGTATCTTTTCTCTCTAGCCGTAACGAATCTGTCGCGATTTAAATTTTATTCTCAACGCGCCTAAAGAAGTTTCACTTCAATAACGAGAAACTCAAAAAACGCTATTTGTTTAAACATGCGTGCGTATCTGCGTGTGTGTGTGTGTGTGTGTTTGTAAAATATTTTCACATTCAGTTAAACTGATGTTTGACTAACAAAACTAATAAAATACGAGCAAAGCTTTACGATTCTGCTACGTCCGTCGGCTCGTACAAAACAAAATCCCTCTAAAAGATCTACAAACGAAGGAAACAATATTGGAAAACTTTTGTACGGAACGGGATATAAAAGCTTCCCGGCTTAACTCACAAATGTATAGAAAAAGTTCTGAATCGCGATTTTTAGAACAGCCCCGTATTGAAACATAACAAATAAACGAGCAACAATAAAGGTTTTTACAAAAAGTATTTACGTGTGGTAACAATAGGCAGCCTTATTGCTTAGAGCGATAACAATTGTAACACATACAATTTAAAATGAATATAATATTTATCTTTTACCCAGTTACCGGAGTCTATAGACACCAAAACGTTAACGCTCCTCCCTTTGAGGCATGAGGTCGAATTTTTCAGTGTATTGGATGACGGCTATAAAACAATATAAACGGGAATGGACTTCTTCGCGTCAGACATAACCAAGTTGGTAGTGCATATTTATTTAGCTTCCTTTTTTCCTACGTACCTAATCGCTAGTTCTAATCGCCCTAGGGGGATAATGCAGCTACACTGGGATGGGATTTGGCTCACAATCGCCAAAGAACGAACGCAGTGGGTTCTTTAAAACAAACTTCCACTTAAATATTGTACTTATCTGTGCAATTGTGTGTGTGTATTGCAATCAAAATTTACTATTGCAACAGAGTAATTTCGTGATTGTTTTTTTGTCTACAAATAAAACTGATTTTTTTTTATTGCTTAGATGGATGCACGAGCTCACAGCTCACCTGACGTTAAGTTGTTACTGGAGCCCATAGACATCTACAACGTAAATGCGCCACCCACCTCGAGATATAAGTTCTACGGTCTCAGTATAGTTACAACGGCTGCCCCGCCCTTCGAACCGAAACGCATTACTGCTTCACGGCGGAAATAGGCGCAGGGTGGTGATACCTACCCGTGCGGACTCCCAAGAG